CATATTATAAGGTAAGGTTATAAAACCACAATTTAAGATCATTTTAGTGAAAGTTTCATGTTCCTATCTCATAGAATTTAAGAACAATGATGAATAAATAATTTTCGAGCAAAATTTAAATGGCCGGCTGAATATATTACCGCAGGAGCCGCGGCCGCGGAATTTAAATGACCACGTCAAAGGGTTAAACATGAATCTGAACAGACAAAACCTCCCATTATGCCATCATACGTACATCTTGAGCAAAAAAGATACTATAAAATTATAAAACACTGTGTAAGTACTGAATCTATTCAAACATTTCTGCATACACAGCAACTGTCATCTTCAGGGAGAATGAGATGGAAAGAGGATATGGCCTGATATATAGGTCTCAGAGAGGAAATAAAAGTGGGGGTGTGGAGTACGGCCCTATATAATGGGACAGGGTGCTGTGACTAAGACAGCATTGAAGAAAAGAGGTGGAACCTGATTTTACTTAGTCTGTATCCATCTGCTCACAGAATCAAATTTGACAAAAGCACTACCAAACTCTCACACTTACCAACCTCACATCATTAAAATACTATCACGGTCAAACATCCCCACAATTTCAATCTTTAAGTGTAAGAATTTTGTTAATCACAAAGCCCCTTCTCATTTTGATGCACCACATGCCACGCTCCCAAAGTTACTCCCAATGAAAGGCATATATTGGGCCACTGAATAGCATCATGCTATATGACTGAATCCTCCTACCTCATTCAACCTGAAGGTGGCAATTACAACCTAGTGCCTGAAAAGTAACAACTAGGATGTGAGCGAACCCTGAAACATGAAATTACCAAGTAAACACATGCAAAAGTCAAAGAACAAGAATATTATCCTGAAACGTCATTATGTAGTCCATAGCCTCGAGATTCTTTCAATTCACAAATTTCTGTTTCATTATAGTAAGGGTAAGGTAAAGTTGCCCTTGTGCTTAGCTAATTAAGCACTACTCCATGAAGACATATGGGGAGTGGATGTATAGACCCACGTTTTCTTGACCTCAGCACTAGTTGGAGGTGAGTGGTCAGTTTCACGTCCTAGTCACTTTACTCCAAGGGAAAGAGCCTCCCGTACCCATTGAATAGGAGGCTAACTGGACCCCAGGGCCAGTATGAATGACATGGAGAAGTGAAAATTCTTTCCCCCACTGGGACTTAAACTCTGACCCCTTGGTTGTCCAGCCTGTAGTCAGTCGCTATATCAACCGTGCTATCCCAGATCTTGTTTGATTACAGTATATCACAATACTTACCAAACATTTCAGAACCTTTCTGCTGATAAGTCAGATCAATCATACTTCTGAAAGGAGCTTCAACTGCACTTCCTGAAGCACCAGGGTTCTCTGGCTTTCTTTCCATCAGACGCTTAATCTTTGAGTCACTCTTGACACGGGTATCATCCAAGAGACAATCAACAAGTAGGATGGAGGTAATTATAGAGCCATCAGACAGAATTTTTCCCTTCAGCGAGAGGATATGCAAGCTAAAGCAGGCCAGTCCATTCTCTGGTAAGTGTGCTGTTGAAGACACACCATGAAGCTGAAACAAGTAATCTCACATGAACAGAACTTGGAACATACACATACACTGTTTCTGGATATTTCAGATTGTAAACACAGACACTTTGCCTCCACTGAAGTTTAAACAATCTTAATTACCATTTTAACAAACAATCATACTATCACAACTTTCTTACACCAAATTCAACATAACATGTCAAAGAAAGACCCAAAATAAATGTAGATGTAAATAACACCTGTGTTCTAAGGCACTAATCCTCTCTCTTAATATTAATTTCTATTTCAACATGTTTGTTCGAACCTGGAATAGATAACAGTATAAGTAAGAGTACTGTCTTATGGGATATGACACTGTGTGGTCCAGCAGAAGTTCACTGATGTTTTGGCAGAACACTGGTGACCTTCTACCAGGCTGCATGGTGTTATATCCCACTGCTGTTTGAACTTCAAATCCAATGTAGTACAAACAAAATTTATAACAGGTAAACATATTGTGGCGTATTGGCTCTATGCAGGAACTGTTGAGCCACAGAGGCCTTGGGGCACATGCACAACATGACAGTTGTGGATTGTATTAGTGCATTGCTAGGCGACAACTCTGTGAATGCTTGGACTGCGCAATAGGAAGTGCAAGTGACGTCACGTACCCCACCCATCCCATAACTACGCAATGCTCAGTAAACACCCCTCCCTGCTAGGCTGTGATGTCACACAACAGGGGAGTCCATGCAGAGACTATTGATAGGCAATCGGTAAACACGATGTTACGCAATAGTGATAGCTACCATTTAACTGTTTTCTGTGTTGTCAGTGCAGAAGCTACATAACAAGGAGTATTCATCAGTGTAGAACCAGAGAGAGAGAGTTAAGAGCAGTTTTCAGTATGAGATGAAATCCAGCAGCTATGAGTTGAGTTGTATCGAGTGAATGGAAGTGACTACAGCAGAATAAGTAATTGGGACAATGAAACTGTGAACTGTGTAAGTCTAAGAGTGAGTGTGGAATAAATTTGATAGATCCAAAACCGGCGTGAAGTTCTTGGTCGTGTCACATAGGCAACACGTGACAATATACTGAAGGTCTTTGACAGCAAGTGCTCAAAAAAATTGTGGACCTAAGAAAAGGGAAGTAATAGACAGATGAAGATACATAACAAACATCTTCAGATATGACTAGAATACTTAAACCAAAAAAGATGAGATACATAAGACACGTAGAACTCATGGAGGAAATGTGAAATGCATAAAAATTTTAGTCTGTAAACCTCAAATAGGATAACTGAGATGCAGGCTTAGACAGAAGGATAATATTAACATAAATCAAAGAGTAAAGGAAGTGAGATGAAAACTGCATTTAACTTGATTGTGATATGACTCAATGGTGTATTCATGTAAACAGTAATAATAAACCTTTAGGTTTCACAGAAGTGAAGAATTTGTAGCACAGGTGAGCATCTGTAACCTTTTAAATAAAGACCCTGCATTGTGGAGCTTGTCTACTGGTTGCTCGCTTGGTTACTTGAACAATATGACTGGCACCCAGGAAGTTGGCTAAAGTGGTGACAATTCTGACTTGTATTTGGGATGTATTCAATTTGAGCCTTGGCTGGGACCCTGATTATCCTAACTGAGACCATCTGTGGTTTTTCCTCACTTCCTCCAGGCAAATTCTAGGATGGTATCTTAAATTATCACTACCCTCCTTATCCTTTCCTATTCACTATTATCCAGCCAACTGATACTATAAAGCATGAGATAATGACAGCATAATTAAATAAACTACAAATAAAATAAAATAAAATAGATGACTGGTTTCTATACCATCACTTTGACTTGAACATTAGAGGGCTGAGATATCCTATAAAATATTTTGAAAGAAAAAAATTTGTAAATTCATGTTTCCCTATGTACAATTCAGTGGCCACACAAACTGATTCATGTACCCTTCTTCATGGCTCATGACACACATGAAAACTGATTCATGTACCCTTCTGTACAATTCAGTGGTCACACCTAAACTGTATCAAGTATGTAAGATTTGACGCTTTCATGGCGGTGACTATGAAGAAAGCAGTCTTCTGGGATTTGGCACCGTGTATATGTGGTGTTAAGTCTGCTTTACCGTTTCTCACGGTGTTGTCGCTTGCAGAATTCTTATACTTTTTCTTCAACCCTGAAGATGGAGGCGATACGTTCCTCCGAAACGTCGGTTAACACCACATATACACGGTGCCAAATCCCAGAAGACTGCTTTCTTGTATCAAGTATCCCTACAATTCACTGGCCATAGGTAAACTCATTCATATGTCCTCTGTTAAATTAAGGGGTCATGTGTAAATTGGTTCGTGTATCCCTCTGCGCAATCCCATAGTTGCACGTAAAGTGATTCACGTATCCTTCTGTACAATTCAGTAGTCGCATGATGCCCAGTTTCTCACACAAAGTAATATAGCTACAGGGGCTAATTTAACACCCCTGAAACTGAGAACCAGAAGAATAAATAATGAAACCATTGCACACTTTCAACATCTATTAGAAAATGAAACATGGGAACCTGTTTTTGAAAATAAGGATACAAACTATAAGTTTAATTCTTGTTTACATATCTTTCTAAATATCTTTGAAGGTAGTTTTCCAGTTCAAAATAAAAGTGTAGGGAAAATAAAAAATGACTGAATTACACAAGGAACTAAAACATATTGCAAACATAAAAGGAGTCTATATATACACGTATATATAGTAGAAGTAGTAATAATCCAAACATGAGAGCGTATTACAATAAGTATGGCAAAATTCTAAGCAGAGTAATAAAAGGGGCTCAAAGGCAGCATGACTGTAGGCTAACAGCAAAATTAGATAATAAGAAAAAAAAAACTGGAATATAATAAAACACAAGTCAGGAAAATCACAGAACACTGAAGAGATACCATCAGTTCTTATAAATGGTGAAAAAGTAAAGGACCCAGAAATAATTGCAGATGCCTTCAATACAGTGGAACCTCACTTAACGAGCATAATTCTTTCCAGAATCTTACTCATAATGCGAAACAATTTTTCCCATATAAATTAATGTAAAATATGATAATGCATTCCATGCCGAAAAAAATACTCAAAAAAATTTTATGTATAACGTTTATTCAAAGAAAATTATATATATTGTTAAGGAGCGTTAATTATCTTCATCTTTTCTTCTATGCAGAATGAACCAACCCGGAATGTGAATTTGATTTGCAGAAAACAAAAAAAAAATCGAAATAATCGGTTTATTATTTATGATACATATTTAATTCTTTTTTACTAGAAAGCTGTCTAGAGACATTGGTTTTGCCAACGCTTCAAAATATGGTGAAAATGCGACACAGCATTATCATTAAATAAATTTGTAGCGCGCATAGCCACTGCCTTATTAGGGTGACATTTCTCAATGTACGATGCAACAGTTTCCCATGCTTTCAGCATCTCTTATTGCGCCAGAAGATTGTTGCTTTGCTGTTACCTCCTCCTCTGACAAACTCTCCTCCACAACTTCTTTCTGTGAAACACAATGCAACTCCAAATTGTGCAAATTGTTGATGTAGACCGGTTGTATGTGCATGCTAGATTAGCTACGCTTACACCCCGTTCTCGCTTTTCAATGATTTTACATTTTATTTCTACGGTTATTTTTATTCTCTCATGGCTGTCTTTTTGTGGCTTTTTCTTCAGGGACATTTTTACAAGGGTTATTAAACTTTGCACAAAAAAAATCACAAATAATATGTCTGAACATAAGTTTGGAAAAATGTGTGATCACAAGCGACACTAAGATGCTAGCGGAACGAGTGCTAAACACAGACTGATGTAGCAAGTGCACAATCCGGGACTTCCCCTCTCATCACTCGTTATGCGAAATGTCACTCATTAAGTGGGTCATTTTTTTACAATTTATTTTGCTCGCCATGCGAATTACTCTTTATGAGAGGTGCTCGTTAAGCGACGTTTCACTGTACTTCTTTTTTGATTATGGAAAGCCTAAACTTGCATCAAGGGACAAAAGGTGATGCCATTTCATTTCTAAAAGATGTTTTTCCTAGAAAATTCCCTGGTATTATGTCCTTTCCAATGACAGAAACTGAGATAAAAAGCATATTACTTTCTTTCAAGGCAAAAACTTATCAGGTTATAATGGAATAACAAGTACAATTTTAAAAGTCTGTACATCACTGATCAGCCTCCCATTAACTCACATTTCTAATCACTCGCTCTTGACTGGGATCTTCCCTAACCGTCTTAAGATTTCAATAGGAAGACCATTATACAAAAAAGGTGACAAATCTAGTATGTCAAACTATAGACCAATCTCGCTATTAACTACTTTTTCTAAAGTACTTGAGAAAGTTATGTATAGTAGATTAAGCCATTATTTGCAGACTAATAATATACTGGTCCCAGAACAATCTGGCTTCAGGAAGGGAATATTCACTGAAAATGCAGCCTTTATGCTAACAGACAGTGTATTAAAATCTATTAACCAGAAAATGCATGTAGGTGGAATATTCTGTGATTTAGCTAAAGCTTTTGACTCTGTTAATCATGAAATTTTGTTAACTAAATTACAATTTTATTCAGGGAATATTCAGGGAATTCAGGGAATATTGGCAGGTTGGTTCAGATCCTACCTTGTAGACAGAAAAGAAAAAGATTGAAATAAAATCATCTAATGCAACCTAAAGTACTTATTCAAAATGGGGAACAACAGAGCATGGAGTTCCTCAGGGGTCAATTTTAGGACCTTTGCTTTTTATAATCTATATATATGACCTTGCCACAACAATAAATACCTGTTCAATACCCATAATATTTGCTGATAACACTAGTGTAATAATTTCTAGTAAGAATTTAGATGATTTCTGTATGTCACTGAACAGCGTTCTCTCTCAAATGAGTAAATGGTTTACTGCTAACAAACTGGCCCTGAATCTAGATAAAACAAATAATACACCTCAATATTCATTAAGCATTGGATATAATAATAAATATACAGAAGAGTCAGTACATACAAAATTCCTTGGCTTACAAACTGTTACTCATTTAAATTGGAAATACCATATCGATCAGTTTGTTCCGAAGTTAGGTGGGGAATGTTATGCAGTAAGAGCTTTGTTACATGTCAGCAACATTGATACACAGAAGTCAGTTTATTTTGCCTACTTTCACTCTGTAATTAAGTATGGAATAATATTTTGGGATAACTCATCTGACAGCAAAAAGGTATTTACATTACAAAAGAAAATTGTAGAAATCATGATGGGCATAAAACCTCAAAATTCTTGTAGAGAACTATTTAAGGGATTACAGATCTTACCTCTTCCATGTGAATATATATTTTTTTCATTATTAAGCTTCATTATAAATAACCAAGAATGTTTTCAGACCAATTTGGATGTACACAGTGTTAACACAAGAAACAAGCACCATCTCCATAGACCGGTTGCTAACCTGACATGTTTTCAGAAAAGCGCATATTATTCTGGCATTAAAATTTTCAATAATCTACCATCTAGTCTCAAAAGTCTAATGAATGAAAAGGTGCAATTTAAATTAGCACTGAAACGATACTTAAATACACACTCATTCTACTCTGTTGATGAATTCCTACTGTCTAAAAATGACTCACCCTTTTAAAAGGTTATGTACGTAGCATAAGTTGACAGTATTGACTTATATATGCGGATGTTTTTTTGTGTGTGTGTGTGTCTCAGTTGTACTGTATTTATGTCTTTTGTATTTGTATGATGGGTTCCACATCCTACAGTCATTCTGACTTACTTTGGATGTACGGAATGTAATGCAATGTAATGTATGTATGTATGTAAGTTGATTCATGTATCCCTCTGTGCAATTCTATGGTCACAGACAAACTTATTCATGTACCCCTCTGCATAGGTCAGGACCCACAAGAAAACTGATTTATGTATCCCTCTGTACAACTCAGCAGTCACATGTAAACTGATTCATGTATCTTTTGAACAATTCAGTGGCCACATGTAATTTGATTCATGTATCCCTCTGTACAATTAGCAGCCACAGGTAAACTGATTCATGCATCCTCTGTACAATTCAGTGGACGCAGATAAACCAATTCATGCATGCTTTGTACAATTCAGTGTTCACATTGAAACTGATTCTTGTACCCTTGTATACAATTCAGAGGCCACATGTAAAGTGATTCACATATGCCTTTGTACAATTCAGTGGACACATGTAAACTGATTCATGTACCCCTCTGTATAATTCAGTAGCCACAAATAAAATGACTCATGTACCCTTGTGTACAACCCAACTGTCAAATGTAAAGTGAGCGATGGAAACCTTTGTAAAAGAAAATAAGAGGAAACTGAAAGGAAAGACAAGTGTATGAAAGAAACGCAAATAAAAACTGTGTGAACACACCTCCTTTGAACCTCCAGCGAAAAGATCCACAATAAGACTATCCATTGTAAAGGTAAATTTGATTGAAGTATATACAGGAACTGCAGCTGCTGTTTCTTTATCTTTGTCCTCAACTTCTGATTCCAAAGTTACTGACTTGAAACCTGAAAAGTCAAAAGTCATGAGTCACAGAAATATCTTCAACAGGGCACACAACTGACAACTACTTATTGATGTTTGTTGTGAATAATATGGGTTTATATCACATGACGTCATAAATTCATGGCCTTAATACTAGGCGTAATTTTGATCTCTATTGTCCTCAGACAAATTTGACAGCTTACCAGAGAGGACATTATTATTTTGGTATTAAACATTTTAATCATCTTCCTTTAAATATACAAGCGTTAATCCATAATATCAAGCAATTTAGAGCAGCTTTAAGTGCCTTTTTACATACTAAATCCTATTAAACTTTAGAAAAATATTTTAATTAGGGATAGTTTCTTGTTTAGCTATGACCCATTATTTGATCTATTGTCATGTATAGGTTCTAATTTTGTATTATCTTATATACACATGGTAGGTTATGTAGCTGCAGTGATGTGTAAGAGTTTCATGCGCTATTTATGGTTGTGGATTTACCGTATTTACGCATGTATAGGCCGCACATTTTTTGCCAAAAATTCAAGAGGAAAACTGGGGTGCGGCTTATATTCGAAATATTCGAAATCACACTTCATTTAAAAAAAATTAACGTTGCCAAATTTTGGAGTAATTTCTACTCCTGAAATAATATTCCAAGAAAATTATTTTTTCTATAATTTGTCTGAAAATTGTGCTGCGGCCTATACACGCACGCAGCCTACACATGCGTAAATACGGTATATGCATTGTTCTGTTGACTACTTGCTGATTTAGCAAGCTTGTGGTGTGACAGGTTCTGTATCCAATGGCTTTGGCCTTGTATGGATGTGCTGGAACGTGTAACGAATACAATACAATACAATACAATACCATATTTGTACCAATTTGCTTGTACTTTTGTGTTACATTTCAATACTGCAAGACAAATAAAATGATAGTAGCGACTTTCTACTTGTTGCTGTGTAAGGAATCACTGAAGATACCTTCAAGGGTGTTAGGTCTCTCCAATGACTTTTTAGATTCAGTCAACTTCTTTTCAGATTCTGCTGTATCTGGAGTTGAGGGTTCTACCACAACACTTTCAGCAAAGTTATCTTTTAACACATGCATCACCTTAGAGAAATCTTCCTGACTTAGTGTTACCTGGAGAAGAGAAAAGAGGAAAGCTATATATAAATATGTAAAATTAAACATTATTCTATGGGATGAAGAACCCAAATATGTCACAAAATAAATGTTGGATATATCTGTTATGTACATATCAATGTTACACTTCAATTGTACTTCAATTATTGACTGCATCTGCAATACATTAAACAAGAGGCAACTTAATGCCTAACAGGTCTGTTGTGCAACCGACTCTTTAGTCATTTCAGTATCATCAGGACAGTCAAATAGACATCAGTCAGCATCAGTTAGGCATCAGTCACTGTAAGTTTGTGGGACAACTGTGTACCATATACGCACATTATTTGTTCATTTTACAGCACTGTCAGAAACTTATACTATGTAATTTAAAATGGTAGGATAATTGGAGAATAATGTATTGGAAAGGATTTTGTAGCAAGCAGCTGTGGCCTGATTGAGATACTATCCTGGTATTTTTCTGGAGAGACTGAGGAAAACCACAGAAAGCTCAGACAGAACACATGATGTCCAAGCTGAGAATCAAACTGAGAACCACCCAAATACAACAAATCCAAAGTGTTACCAATATATTAATCTACTTGGTGACATCAGTGAACCATCTGTACATGGAATAAAGAAATACTGATTATAAAGACAACACAAGCAATTTTAAAATAAACAGTACTGAAACAAAAATTATACAAAAATGGAGAATAGTGTAATTAGTAACATGAAAGATACATTCTTCAGAGAGTACATCTTGGTGTATATTACAGCTTTCTCAATCATATTAGAATATACTACACAGTTTAATAGGTAATACATAATTGCATCACACCTTATGCCAATACAACACACAGGCACTTATTCTGGAAAGTCCTAAGGTTTCCAAAGCTTCTGTATAACATAATCATTAGTACAATTAACAAAGTATAACCTTTTCTTTAATGCTGCTAACAATTCTTTATTCTTTACATCCTGTCATATTATAAAACCACGACATATAAGGACTGAGACACAATAATGACTTAACAACAAAACAGAACAGACAACAGTGTCCGGATTAATATACTGCAGTTATACTGTACCACTACATGTTTCAATCTAAACAGATCATCAGGTGAATACAAAATAAATACAAAATCGCATAATCATTTTATTTTATTGCAAAGTCACTGTTGTGTATATGGCAACTATATACCGTTGACGGCCAACAAAACCGTTAGTCATAAAAAGGCAGTATTTAAATAGATGCCATGCAAATTGCCAGACAGACAAATCCAGCCTTCAACTGGAACACCAGTATGTTCCCTCCACACTCCCATGTAGTATGAAGAATCACTGTTACATGCCAGAATGAGCTATTTTCATTAGAATGATAATACGACTTTGTTAATGGAATATGCAAAACATCTAACTGTTACAGTTGCTGCATTTAAGATGGTGGTTACACGTACGTACAAAAGGCAACAATACTAGTGCAACAGGATGCTAAAGTATAACATTATTTCCCAAGGCTTCTTTGTACAGAAATACTCACATTAATACTCTCCAATCTACCAGACAGGTCTATATCAGGGATTTCTTTGTACCAGCCAGCTGACAGGTTGCGTAGCATTACCAGGCCGAATGTTATTGGTTGTAGGATAAGGCTTTCATTAATTACCTCTTTGGCTTCATTATCCAGCTTTGCCCTGTAGACAAAAGTGAACATTATGGGTATGCATAACAAGAGCTATGGACAGAAATGCTTAGTGTATAGATGTTAGACATTTTTGTTAACAACAGGGTAGCCCTTCCCTTAGAACCAAAATGTATCCTTACTACTGATATTTCAAACTGTTCAATACCATCCAGTGACCAATTTCAACTTGCACAAAGGGTGTATTCAATCTGTGACATCAGCATTGCATGATAAAATAAATACCAAGTATTTTATTCTAATATACATATTATTTTCTAGTTTAACTCCACTAATAAGTTAATGACGACAGCTGAGATAACCCAAAACATGAGGAATCTTCTTTTAAATCCCTAATGTGTATACATACAGGCTAGAAGACAAATAACCACATTTCAAGTTCCTGCTGTTTTCATTATAACATGAAAATTAATAAGATTTACCTGGATAACTTCAAATTCTGTAGATCCAAGTTTAATTCATCTATGACAGCAGGATAGCCTGCAGAATTGCAAATGTTCAAAGTCCTGAACTTGTTGTAAATGGTGAGATTTCCAAAGTCCATAATCAGCACATCAAGACTCCTAGAGTTCACTGGAATGATTATGATTGGGGCCTGCACGTGAAGATAAGAAAGCTGCAGGTTACAATTCTACAACATTTACATTCACCTACAACAGGCATGTCCAACTTCAAACAGATTGTGATCGACTATTTAGTGTCAAAACTGCCAGTGATCTACCACTCCCTTCCATCGTTGTACCTTGCTTTAAGCAAAAATATCTATCTTCTGCTGTTGCAGAAGATAGTGGCAGACACTTCTTCCAAGATACCAGTAATACGTGACATATATATCCAGTATTGTAACCCAGAAGAACACAATGGAAATTCTCATTTATGTTCTTTCCCAAGTGAAAGATAATTTATACCCATAATAAACAATGGATAAAGTACAGTTTTGCATATTTTAATCACCGATCACAGTGGCCATGTGGTCTAGGGCATGAACTGTCTTCGCCACTCAAATATTAGGATCATGGGTTCAAATCCCAATCAAGGCAAGGATGTCTATGTGTTTATTCTGTGTCTGTGTTGTCCTGCGTAGGTAGCGGTCTTGCAATGGGCTGATCCCCCAACAAAGCAGTCCTACCAACTGTGTAAGAGATCATGAAACCAAGAAAGTGGCCAAGGTCCAACATAGGGCTGTAGACCTATACACAAGATAATAATATATTTTAATCTCTATATATTTAGACAGAAGACAAAAAGATAAAATATTCTTAACTGAATGGTACTGAGCATTTCCAAAACTTACAATTCTGATTTATTATTGTCATGCCCAAATGTATATACCTTCCTAAATTTCAATATTCCATTTGCTTTTTTACATGGAACATTCATATGTTATCCATTAATTGTTTCCTAAATTGCTTTACTTATTTATCAAAAAACTAGCAGAAGTTCAATATGCAGTACAAATGAAGCCAGAAATAAGTAATCATTTTTCACACCCAACACAAAAATAAAAATACAAGAAAGATACAGTTCATGAACTCAAATGTAAATTGAAGTACCTGCAGTTTAATGTTTAAAGACAACTTGACTGCCTTTTGATATGCTTCCTGCATGTTATGTTTTGCTGCTTCAGCTGCACCAGCTGCTGCATCCATAATTGCCTGCTGTGCTTGCTGGAAGGAGTTCAGGAATTTCTACAAAAGAACAGAAAACAGTTGGAATTATTGTACCCAGCTAAACCTCAGTCATACATTTTATCACATACACGTTCAATGATTCATGGCAACAAAAAAGGAAACAAGACCTCTCTCTTCTGGGATATACCGCTGTGTAGACCATTAAAAAGTCAACTGACATTCTGTAGAAACAGGTTACCTCCATCATCAGGATCAAAGGAGAGGTCTGTTCACACTGCCCTTATTGGGGTACCAACTCAGCACCCACCAGGCACCCATCAACCCCAAGCCCTTCCTGCCTGTCCTGGCCTCCCTCCACTGTTGCTTTCTTTATCCCCTACCACATGACTATGACCCATGTACAACTTCTCTCCCATTCTCCCCAGCTCTCTGCCCACTACACCCTTACAACTCTGATCTTCATATGGTGTGAACATTATACCATTAAATGCCAACCAAAGTTCATCCTTTCTAATTTCTTAAAACCTGCAAAAATGAACTTGTGATGTGGGACTGATCCTAACACTGTTCAATGTAGGGTTCGCAGATGTATGACTACATACAGGGTTTGGTTTGGATGATTGGATTTACTGCACTTATACACTCAACTTTTAACCACAAGTGCAAGGGGCATTCAAAAATGATTGATACTAAATGTTTTTTCTTCACAGTAAGCATTCATTGGAACAAAATACATACAGATTATATTAGAGGTATTCCCTGCCAATGTCCATGCACCTTTGCCATCATTCTGGCAGTTTCCTTATTTGCATAACAAACCATTTTTTTGGGGTATCCCGGCACTGTTGCTGGACAACTGCCTGAAGCTAGTCGTTGGAGGTGAACGTCTTACCTACATGACATCTCTCATTGCATCGAATAGAGTGTAGTCGCTAGGGGCAAGATCAGGCAAGTATGGCAGATGAGGCAGCACAGTGTACCCTAGAGCACCCAGGGTGGCAATGGTCTGCCGACTGCCATGTGGCCGCGCATTGTCATGTTGGAGAACACCACGCCATTTTCCGTGGCAGTCTTGCTGAACGCGTCGGCGGAGTTGGAGGACTGAATTGCAGTACCAATCACTGTTGATGGTTGTATTTGGGGGGGGGGGCAGCCAATCCAACAGAAGGATCCCCTCCTGATCCCAGAACACAGTCACCATTTGCTTCTGGACAAATAGTCCTGGTCGTGACTTCTTGGGAGGAGGGCTTCCACTCCATGGACTGGCATTTCCTTTCTGAAGTCTCGTGCCAGAACCATGACTTGTTGATGGAGCAGCCACTCCTTCCCTCCAGAGAAACCACAGTCCACTGTTGCCCTTGATTGTCTGCTTCCATGTTGTCTGAGCATTGTCCATGACTGCACCTGCACACCGCCACATATGACGCAGCATTGTTCGACCTGTGCACAGTAGCAATGTCATCTCATGGTCATAGGTGGCACTATAGTATGTCTTCCCACATACACATGCTTGGATTTGACACTGCTACTTTTCCGGAGTAATGGGGGGAGTGTCAATCATTTTTGAACGACCTAAATAATACAGCGCTACTGCTGATTTACACACTTTACTGTTTGCTAGGGTCCTCAGTCTTCACTAGCCTTATCCTGGCAACAGATTTTAGCACAGTAATTATACCAGTCTCACTATGACTGCAGCACATATGAAGTCTTCTTATAACAGACTAATTCCTTCCTTGCCATCTCTTCTTAATCTTCGACTGCCATCTCAAGAAACTTCCTCAATTATAATTCTACTGGCCTTGGATCCTTGTTATATGGCCTTGGGGCGGATCCAACAGGAAACACCTTTTCCTTACAATTCCTCTATCATTATAGAGGTGTGTTTACCTCGCCATTGTATAGAACTGGCAGTTGTTCTATTGTTGCATGTGTGTTCATTTCTGCAGGAACCTGTTTACCAAGCCACTACCTAGCACTGAATGTCTACTCTGGCTCTGCTATATGGGCTTTCAGGCGTCATGTCACAATATATTCAACTAAAACAATTGTCTGCAGAATGTACAATAAAACACAGTGGTTAAACATAAATTTTCACTTGGCTTTCAGTTTGACAGTGCTAACTAATGGAATGTTGTATGTAAATATATGAAATTTGGCATGAAGATAGAAAATAAACTTATATTAAAAAAAAAGAGCCAGTGATATCCATCCTTCACAGTTCAAGTCTCTAGCTACTGAACAGACAGGAACATGTTCTGCTAAATGAATAGTTCAATTACTTTCCACATAAATGTTCACCTTGCTTTGGATGTGCTTATGAATTATTATGAAATAACAAAGTAAATCTCTGAAGTTATATGACAAACACGTCTGCTACCAGCCTCGCAATGCGCAATTTAAATCCCTAGCCCAGAGCTTTTAAATGTCAGGGTACTTTTAATGCAATCACTGAATGGCAAAATAAGGAAAGACTCTTTCTGTAAACTATGAGAGACTGGAATCTGTTTGCACGCACTACTGTCTGACCTAAGTTGGATACGGTAATCTACATATGGGAACACTTATTCAACTACTGGTTGGATGTGGATGTGAATGTTTTAATGCGGTCAGAAATTGTAATCAAGTACCAAACTCTCTTTCAAAAAATGCAGTTTGTTAAGAAAGTTATATATTTGAGACCTTTGCATATGATGGTTAAGGGTTCTTCCAGTACTTTCATAGAACATAACTCCTGGAACATACAAGGATCTGCATCAAGTAGTCACTGAATATCAGGACAGAATATGCAGTCCTCTTCTCCAATCTTCATATCACATATCATCTTCCTAGTCTTCTTTTTGTGTGAATATACATTCTTGTTTGCAAATGACAGCACATCTAAATACTTTGAGGACCAAATATAAACAGTACTGAATCTCATAACTGCTGAAACTACCAGCTGGTATCTAGTCACAGAAAACCCTCAAGAAGAAAAATAGGCCAACTTTGATTCATTTCAATGCTTATTACAAAATTGTACCTTATGCATTTCTGTTAATGCAGATTCCTAAAACTTCATGAATAGCTTTGCAGAAATAATTTCAAAATCTTGAGAATATGGTAGACCCCCTTTAATGTTCGTTGATTTAAGGTCTCCCCCCCCCTACATACAATCAGTCTAAACCATCCCAAGTCAAAAATCTAATGCTGAATTTCCTCCATTTAAGATTTTCTTTAGTTTTTCTAGAGCTCAAATCTACTGTTCCTCAGCAAACCTATAAATGTGAGTTTCACTGTAAAAGGTTTCTACAGAGTTATTCAACAATTCTCACAATAAGCACATTACTTACCAGTAAGCTGCTAACAAACCAGTTGAGAAAAACAACACGCAAACAGGCCATGTTAGCTTGTACAGACATGTCCACCTTTTCAGCGAGTGTTTCATTTTGTCCATCCTCATTGTACAGCACAACTTGTGCAGACAGAGCTTCCTGTCCCATGATCGACAAGATCTGTAAATACCGAAAATGCATAACTTAAAGCAAAAAAAATTGTGCAAATCTAACAAGTTCTGAACTAAGAAACACACCCTCAGATCTGAGTGTGCTGATTCTCATTTCACTTACAGTTAGCAGAAATGAAGCATATAAATTACCTTGTGAGAAATAGGCAACATTTACCATAGATAGGGTATATTGGGAAACTATCTGTTTCACATATTTAATCATGAAAGGCACTCACCTGAAAAGAACAGAAAGTTCTGGTGTGGCACCAAATTGCCTAAACTGAGGTTTGGGGTGCTCATGGTGATCACACTGTTGTGTGATAGGGACTACAAAATAGGTTCAGTTTGGAAATGGATTTATTTGGCACTGATTCCTCTTATCTATATCTGTTTACAACCATTCCCAACCATTCACAATTAGCCACTTGACTCTTCTACCTTAATTCCTTAGCACTCCATCATCATACACAGTTCCTTGTTGAAGTGAGGTAACCCAGGAGGTACGAGCAGACTTCACTGTGGACTGTCTAGCAAATGCTGAGCTCAGCAATGTATCATCTATTGTGGCTCATGGGAATTCATGTTTCTGATGCCTAGTAAATGGATAACTTTGCAACATTCCAGTGGTCCTCGCATTCCAAAATCTGCAATCCCCACATTCAAAAATCTGTGGTCCTACATTCTTAAATCTTCAGTCCTCACATTCTAAAATATGCAGTCCCACATTCTGAAATCTGCGGTCCCCATCCCACATTCAGAAACCTGCAGTCCCCACATTCCAAAATATGCAGTCCTCACATTCCAAAATCTGCCATCCTCACATTCTAAAATATGCAGTCCTACATTCCAAAATCTGAAATCTGTGGTCCCCGCATTAAAAAATCTGTGGTTCCACAGTCCAAAATCTGCGGTTCCCACATTCCAAAATCTGCAGTCCCCACATTCAGAAATCTGTGGTCCCAACATTCAGAAATCTATGGTTCCACACTGCAAAATCTGCAGTCCCCATATTCAGAAATCTACAGTCACTACATTTTGAATTCTATGAATTCAGACATCATGTCACAATATGATCATCATCTTCAGGGTACTGTGTAATATGGTAGATTTTCATGAGACAAAGATGCTGCCTTTAACTTCATTCCAGAAGTAATCTTCAAGTTGTAACGAGTACCTTGCATTCCTCTACACAATGTAAGTGCTGTTGCTCTCCATTCTCTTATTTGAAGAAGGACCATAGGAGATTTCCTCACTCCTGTTTCGTGTCTAGTCTTGAGCAGATAAAAAATCCAGTTCCTTCTCTCTTCCTCCCTCCCTCCCACCTTCTTCTAGTCTTGTAATCAGGTACAGTACTTATTTCTAAAATAGTCCACACAGTGAACACTTACACAACTGGAAATACTATGAAACAAACTCTACAACTAAAAAGTTATTTTGGAACATAAATGTCATTTAATACAAAATTAGGCCTATACAGTATAACATTGCCTCAACAGCAGCACTGAATTACACAGAGAAATTTGGAATTCAAGCCAGAATGGGACCCCCCAAAGATCACAGGTACAGCAAACACATTTTTGGAGACAACTACTGTGTTTCATTAGGCTAGACCATCAAAGAAATTTGGACAACAGAGAAAAACTGAAATTCACAAATATAGTTGAAGAAATATGAGCACACCACTGTGGGTATGATGATGGCAATGATACTTGCATTGTCACTGTAACATTTGCTTGAATGTGGGCAGTTCCCACACACAACACTGGAAAAATCATTAGGAAAGAATGGTAAGAGAACACCTTCCACAATAAACATTCTGTTACTGACTGAGGAGACTAAAAGGCTTAGCGTAACCATAACACTTATGGAAACACCAAGATCATTTTGTGATTCATAGGAATACATCATAATAACCTAACCTTACAATGATGATGATGATGATGATGATGATGATGATGATGATGATGATGATGATGATGATGACGATGAAGACGAAGACAGACAATGTTATATCACAGTGGCATATTCCAATATGAAGTTTACTGCATTCTGTGATGTGTCACAGTGTAGCCTGATAAAACATCACTGTTGTTTCGGAGGAATCTGCTAGCAGATAATCTACCAGACTAAATGGCACCACATCCTAGAAAACAGTAATCTTCATACTTACCATTGTCATCATCTCAGATCTCACATATTTCGACACAATTTCACAAGTTCAATATGAGCCAGTTATCAATACCAAGCAATACATATTACTTACGTTTGGGTGAACTGTGACAGGGTTGGGGTCACTGATCACTATGTCCTTAAGTTTTGCAGTGATGACTGTGTTTGTCTTCTTCACCACAACACCAGCAACAGCGCCTTTCACAAGTAGGGCTGCAATCTTAGACTTTCTATTCCCAATTTCCACCCTGAAATACTCGAGGTGTGCAGTCACCTTCAAATCAATCTCCTGTACAGATATCCTCTTCTTCCTCCTTTGTACTGCAAAAACAAACATATCTCATTATGCCAATTTTTCTTTCCAAGCAGACTATTTTTTTATTATGCTGCTGAAAACTGAGACATGGGTCCAGCCATTTAGAAGGTATACTTGCTATGTTGTACCAGCACACTTCAGGTCAGGCTATCATTTGGTGGTATTCACATAAGAACACAGAGTCATTGCCAATTCAGAAGTTCTCTTGAAGGAGTAAATTGTGTACATCATCCTCTCTCTTGTGCCTTAAAAATTCATATGGGGATATTATAAAATAGTAAAACTGAAGAGCAGAGTGCAAAGCATAATTCTGAAACACTGTGACTTCAATATTCATATTAAGAGAAAACATGGCTGTAAAGAGTGATGTGCAACATACATTCATTCATTCATGAAACTAGGCTAAAATTAAGTGTAAAATATATAACTTCATAAAACAAGTTTCTTCTGGGGGCACATGATAGTGTAGCCAGGTGAGGCACTATGTTACAAGCCAGAAGGTGGTGGGTTTCATACCCAATGAGGTCACTGGACTTTCTCATTGTATTCTACTAGCTGCACTATGGCCCTGGGGTTTACTCAGCCGCTAACAGAAATGAGTACCAGGAATCTAACTGGGGGGTAAAGGGCAGCCAGTGTGTAAGGTTGACAAACTCACTGCCATCTGCGAGCCAACTGTCTATGCAATGTGGAAACCTCCACATCTCACAACCCTATGGGACTCCATGGACTGTTACAGGGATAGTTTCACCTTTTTCTTTTTTTACAAGTTTCTTCTTGTAAACTAAACAATCTGTAAAGTGGTCAAAATATTCCCTGCTTGTTATGAAATCTTAGGCACACCACTGGAACCCATTCTCAGACGATTCAATTAACACTACGTGGGGCAATCCAAAAGTTTCCCAAATTTGAATTTTGCGTGCAAATGGTAATGAGTACATCGAAATACCGCTAGGTGTCTCCTCACACATCCTTCTTGAATCAGTGTGGCAAGCGGCGTCGAGTTGAGTGGTTGGGTTTATTGTTGGTGAATGTATTTCCATTGTTGTATTTCTGTGAGTTTGCGGTTTTGTGACGGCTGACCTGAGAGAGCAGCGTGTCTGTATAAAGTTTTGTTTCAAACTTGGGAAAACCGCTGCAGAAACGCAGCAAATGTTGAAGCAAGCTTTTGGTGAAAACACTTTAGGCCAGACACAAACTTACAACTAGTATAAGCGTTTTAAAAATGGCCGAACATTGACTGATGACGGCGATCGTTCGGGACGGCCGTCAACGGGCAAAACACGAGAAAATGTCGCGAAAGTTAGGGATCTGATTCTGCAAGATCGTAGACTGACCATCCAAGACCTCTGTAACACCTTGGGACTAAGTTATGGTACATGTCAAAGAATTTTGTAAGAGGAACTGAAGAGGAGGATTGCGGCAAAGTTTGTGCCATGACTGCTGCAAAATGAACAGAAGCAGCATCGCTTGGAAGTCTGCAGGGAACTTCAGCAACAGCTTCAAGAGGAGCCAAGCTTTCTTTCGAAGGTTGTCACTGGTGACGAAAGTTGGGTTTATGGCTACGACCCTGAAAGCAAGCAGCAATCGGCGCAATGGAAGAGTCCTTCTTCACCTCGGCCAAAAAAAGCTCAACAAGTCAAGAGCAACATTAAGTTCATGTTGATCTGTTTTTTTGATATTGACGGGATTGTTCATAAGGAGTTCGTCCCTCCTGGTCAGACAGTCAATAAAGAGTTTTATCATGATGTTCTAAGGCGTTTGAGGGAGAACATGAGGAGAAAACGTCCAGAAAAGTGGCGCATGAACGACTGGGTACTCCACCATGACAACGCACGACTGCATACGGCTTACATTGTGCAGGAATTTTTGGCTAAAAACAAGATGGCAGTTGTTCCCCACCCACCATACTCACCAGACTTAGCTCCATATGACTTCTTTTTCTTCCCCAAGATAGATCAAGTTGAAGGGGCAAAAATTTGATCCAGTTGAGGAAATTCAAGCGGAAATGCAGACGGTACTAAACACCCTAACATCCTTCCTAACTAAACATCCTAACTGGGATCGGTGTATGCGCTCCCAAGGGGACTACTTTGAAGGTGATGGTGCAGAATAAGATCTATGTAAGACGTAATAGTTTTTATTAATATATTTCGGGAACTTTTGGATTGCACCACGTATAATACTCCATTTCTTTAAAATCCATTTTAATATTATCCTCATATCTATTCCTCTCTTTCTACCAGTTTTCTAATAAAAAATGTTGTATGCATTTGTGTTACGTGTGCTATATGTCCCACCTATATCATCCTTCCTAACATTTGATGCAAAATATAAATTAAGAGCATCTATCTTTCTGAAACTTCCTTTCCCTTAAGAAATATCATTCCAGAAGAAAGAGTATTTCCTGAAGATCTGTGACAACTACTTGATCTAAGTTATGTTTACTGTGAGCATTATCTGAGATATTCTTAATGTACACAACGTTCTGGGAGTTGCCTCAACTTCATCTTCTGGTGATATATAGTACTTATATTATGGTGTAACACCCATTTAGTATTCCTCAGTTTATGGTTTTTCCATCATTTAATGTTCAATTTTAACATTCCCAAGACAATCCAGTGTTAAATGTCCTCCATTTAAGACTTTCCTCAATTCAATGCTCCTCAAAGAAAGCTTAAATGGAGGAGGGGAGGGGGTTCCCATTGTATTTTTATTATCTTTATTTTAATATTACAATTAGTGGTGACAGCTGCATTCTACTGCTGATGACAATGTGTTCATGGCCGTTTTTCAACATCATTGGAACTGTACATCTGTCAGATGTTTGTGCCACTTGGACAAACTGGGAAACTTCTACTACAAAGAAGTTCTACAGATGTGCAGCAAAAATGACCTGATAAATGGCACAACTGTGGTTTCTCCAGCATGATAATGGTCCTGCTAATTTTGCCTTTCCTGTGCATGGATTTCAGGTTATATGAGCCAGCCACCATACTCCCAAGATCTATATCCATGTGATTCCATTTTTTTTTCTTACACATGAATCTGTATTCACTGGAAACCGATCTGAAAATGTTGACATCACTGAATAAGTTGCAAGTCTTGCACAGATGCTTCCAGCAGTAGCAAATCACTGGACTCACTCTATACAGTTGCAACAGAAGTACTTAACAGGAAAGAGCATTAAATGGATACTAATGCATTAAATATATTCTGCCTGGAAATGTTTCAATCTGACTATCAAACTAAATTCATGCAACTGAGCCCTTCTCGAGAAGATGCCATTTGTGCAGCTACTCAAGAACTTCCCAACATTTTATGGAACCCGAAGGTTCATTATCGTGTTCACAAGAGCCCTCCACTGGTCCCTATCCTGAGCCAGATTGATCCAGTCCATACCATCCCATCCTATATCTCTAAGATCACACCTTCTAATTCTCTTTTTCTTCATGAGAATAAAAGTTATGCCAGATGATTGCTGTGATCACACATGTGATGCCAAATAATTTGGTACCTAGGTACTAACATTACAACAGAGCATGCTGCTTCCCTCTGAAGATATTTTTTAACCTTATAATGGAGCCTCCATGCTCCCCCAGAATGTTTGTACATAACTGCCAAACTATCTGGTGTCACATTGTAGAAGAGGGAGATCTGCAGAATCGCTGCTGTAGGAACTAAAATCTCACATTATGCCAATTCATGACATCTAATTCACAGACTGGTTTCACTCTACTTAAACCACATTGTTAAAGAGCCATAAAGGGGGACAATGTAACATACTTGCTTTGCTCTGTTCAAATGCTACACCCTCATCCTCAGGAATGATGCTGAGAGGAACCTTGACAGGCGCTGCTGTAGGAGACGGCTGACTGATGACACGATCCTGTAAAGGTTTCTTCTGTGCTTGCTCCAGCCGGCTCTGGAAGGAGTTGAATATTTCGAGCAGAGCTAAGAGGGACTCCTGGTGCAGCAAGACAGTCAGTGTTGTGAAGTTCACATCCACCAACTTCAAGACTGAGCCATGTTTCGTGTGGAACTCCGGTGACCGTTTGTTTACCTATATAATGTAAGAAATTCTGTCACTCAATGATATTTGAATAGTTGGGCTCTTGATACATATGAAGTCACAAAAGAGTGAAAGCAATTTCTGATAATAAAAAAGCCTGCATGATGGGAAGGGGCACAAAATAGGTACCACAAATATAATTTTTGTTTGTGGTTTATGCTTTCAGTAATTTTCAATATATAATGTTGAATGGCAGGATAACTGGTGACTGTTGAACTGAAAAAGATTTGGAAGAAGTGGTCATGACTTAATCTAGGTACCATCCCAGCACTTGCTTCGACTGATACAAGAAAACCACAGCCAGAACAGCCAGTGTCCCAGCCAAAATTTGAACTGAGAATATTCAAAATACAAGTCCAGAGCATTACTGCTACACCAGCCTGCTCCATGGGATGATGATGACAGAAGTGTTGGAGATACAGTGGTGAATTTTGTGTGTGTGTTGACTGAGATATGTAGACAGTTCTACATTAAAGTTCTGCAGTGTCTTCCGAAGATATGAAAACGTCTAGAGAAAGGGCAATATGAAGAACGACTTATCCACCATGACAATGGTCTTTCTTACTCTGCTCTGTCTCTGCTGGAATTTCTTGCAAGAAACTGCATCAGCATCAAGCTGATATAGGCTGATCTGTGGCACTACATAACCCAAAACTTTCTTTCAGTAATTTCTGCGTAAAGAGCACCCACATCTTGCTTCTAGTCTATCTGTGGGTGACTTTAGTGCATTGGGCAAGCTCAAGTTTGTTAACAGGTTTCCCTTTACAGAAGAGTGACTATACACAAAATATTCTCCACTACTTAATATCCAGCTACGGATATAACGACATGCAATTAGGTGTGCCACCTTAGCAAACTGAACAGTATACTGATGCATCTCAAGTTATCTTGGATTTGCAGGGCAGAGCTGCTGATGTGTAGTTGTCCAGGGGACACTTAAAAATTAGAAAACTCTGAGTTTCATACAACATGATGATTCCAGTTACCTCATGTGGAATAATACTGATTCTGATATTTGTTGTCAGGTCTTCGCAGCAGCGAGTGTTAAGATTGTGGTCTTCCATGTTATGACACCAAGTAGTGTAGTAAGTGCATAGCAACATTTTGAAGAACATGCTGCCTCTATCTTCAGGGTTGAAGTGGGTGTGGTGGGGATGTGATTAGCTTATATGGGCAAGGTGCAAGGAGGAGGGATCACTCAGATCCACAGGAGGGCAAGAGGAAATTGGTTTGGGCTGCATCTTCTTTCTTCCCACAGTTGTTCCTCTTATTTCTTGCAAGTTCTTTCCTCTCTTCACTGTCTTCCAATACATGGCTGAATCACCTCATTCTGGGTCTTCCTGTAGGTCTGTTTTCCTTATATTTTAATTCTAATGACCTCCTTGGTATCCCTGTCATAACTCTTCTTTCTTGCATGACCAAATCATTATAATTTTTTTTCTAGTTGACATTGCTATAAGTACTATTCCTGAGAAAAACCAACCTTATTTGAAACAATAACTTACAAAAATTAATTAAGAAACAATATAAAAAAGAAATAAAATATACATTCAAAAAGAGCATGTAGAATGGAAAACACTAAAAAGCATCAAACAAAAATTAATTAATAGTCACTCAATAATAGCAAAAGCCGATAAAGGCAACACGCTAATCATTCTAAAAAAAGACGTTTATATCAATAAACTTGATAACTTCATTAACAATAATAACTTTACCAAGTTGTCACATGACGTTACCAATAAAGTACAACAAAGTACAAGGAATTACATAAACAATTGTAAAAACATCATAAAACACAAAGATAAATTGAAACTTATAAACATGAATCCCCGCGCACCACACTTATACGGTACTATTAAATTACATAAACAGGGACAACCAATACAACCAATAGTCAATTGGACAAACTGCCCTGCATATAATCTAGCTAAACACCTAAACACAATATTAACAAATACATTACAACGACCTAATGCTTTTAATGTGAAAAACACTAGTACACTAGCACATTCATTACAACTCATTGAAATAAATGACACATAAATGTGTTCTTTTGATATCGAAAATATGTATACCAATATCCCCACAAAATAACTTTTCAATATTGTTGTAAATATTATAGCTAAGAATCAAAACATTTCACATGAAACAAAAATTGAAATTAATAACCTACAAAAGTTAATGTTAGAGCAAAATTATATTGAACATAATGGCAAATGGTTTAAACAAAATGAAGGTCTTGCTATGGAAGCACCAACTTCAGCAATTCTTGCCGAAGTATTTATACAATACCTCGAACATACAACTATCATTGATATTTTAATGAAACACGAAATAATAGCTTATTATAGATATGCTGACGATACTTTAATCATTTATAATTCCCATATAACTAACACTGAAAATATGTTGTATGAATTCAACAATATTCACCCCAATATCAAATTTACAATAGAAAAAGAAATAAATAATAAGATCAGTGACTTAGATTTATCCATCGAAAAAACACATGAAAACCTACAACTACTGAGCTAATCATCCACAATGATTCAGGTCACCCATTTGAACACAAAAAAGCTGCTATAAACTTTCTCATTAATCAATTGAATCAATATCCCCTTTCACATAACAATAATAACACAGAAGAAAACATCGTTAGAACTATTCTAAATAATAACTACCCACAAAATACCATACAACTAACACAAAAACCTCCACAAAAAATACTACGCAGAAAAATAAATGGACCGCCTTCACCTATTTCAGTCATGAAATCAGATCTGTTACTAAACTTTTCAAGAATACTGAAGTTGGTATCTCATATAAGACAAAAAACAATATAAAACATCTGTTGAAAATAAATTATGAAAAAAATGATTTATATAATCTTAGTGGGGTCTACCATTTACAATGTGCTGACTGTCCATTAAAATATATATGACAGACCGGACGTACCTTTAACTTCAGATTCAAAGAACACATACGAGACATAAACAATAACGGACAAAGCTCCAGATTTGCTCAATATATATTAGACACCACACATGAATATAGTATGATAGACAAAACATTAGAAGTTCTATATATAGGCAAGAAAGGCCGAACCTTGGACACACATGAAAGATTTCACATCTATGAAATCTATGAAAATTACAACTAAATGATAACATTGCTGAAAGGTTTAATCCTATATATGATGTAATAATTGATACATACAAAACATAATATACAGTTATAGCCCCTCCCCCTACCACCACTTCTGTATACACCTTATCTCTACCTCCTTACATTGACCTTAATCTTACATCACCAAATCAGTCGTTGTTTATATTCCCTACACTACGGACAGTACTTTGAGAGATGAGACACTGACTAATGTAAGTAATATACTCTATATGCTCTATATCTTCAATACAAATATTAATTGTTGATTTTAAAAATTTAATAATATTACTTTCACATCATTTTCAGATCATAATTTACTTTACTACACCTACATTATGAGCCTCATACACAATTTTATATACACATAAGTATGAATATTCCAACCTGTCTGTGGGACGACAAATCATTAACCAATGACTGACACGATGTAAAAACACCAAAAGAATTTTATTCTTATTTTATGTCGTACTTCTGTTTTATATAACTTGATTTATTGTATTTTTTATGTCAAGTCTTTTTATATATTTTAATAATTTTTAATAATTTTAATTTTGTTGGTGCTGCGGTTCAGTGGTGTGTATATGTGTGTTAATCATGTGTTTGCCTGATGATGGCTATCAATAGCCGAAACATGTAGCAGGGCCGAAAATGGTCTGATCTTGATATTAGTTGTGTTGTGATGGATATAATAAAGATGTTGTATAATTATTTCTCTTCTAACTCTGTTACAAAATTTTAAATGCAAGCTATTCACACTCATTCTCATTGCAATTTCTGTGTTAAAATATGACATAATTTTCATTTCGGGCATCCTGTTGTGTTATTATATACAGTTCTTTATTGGAGTCCTCTGTAACACAACATAACGGTCAAGGTTAATATTAGCTTAGCTACATGTTTTGGTTTTTAAAGCCATCACCAGGCAAAATACATGATTACTATATACGAGTACACACACTACTGAACTACAATTTCATTGTGATAGTAAAGGTAGATACTTGATAACTGTTACATTATAAAATACAAGGTATAAAAATACAATGAATTATCAACTTATTCTAAAACGAAAGTTGTGGAGTAAAATATGATTAAAAATTCTTCATGTGATATTTCATATCATGAAGTCAGTTGTTGCAATCTTGTTATATTCCAGTGGACATAATGGTATATTCAAGACTTGCATACATACAGCAAACTGAATGGAGGCCTGTAGTGTGGATGTACTATTATTTGACATTAACTGTTTGGCCGGTGCCTCATTTTACAATGTATTTTGTCCGTTCTGTTGGGAATAAAGATTGCAGTCACGTAATATTAATCTTGACCATTATGCTATTGTGTTATGACAGACTCCAATAAAGAACTGTGTAAAATATGACAGTTTAGTACCAGAATATATCTGTGCAGCCATTGGTGTATTTAACTGCTTTCCTGCAAATTTGGTAAAACACTTTAGCTAACTGCCTACTACCATGGATGAGTTACTACTTACATCTACATAGACAACTGTAAACAGATATTTTGAGTCGCCAGCAGTCATTGGGGTGTCCAACAAGCAGACAGAAGCAACTGGATCAAAGTGAACAAGCGAGATTCCTCCAATACGCAAAATAACTGTCATGTTGTAAGTCTTCTGCACCATCTCAACTTCAAGACGAAGGAGATGAAAGTCCAGCAGTTTCTCTGCTTCACTGGCCTGATAGATGCTTACCTTCAAGTCTGCAAAAAAAAAAAAAACAACTTGAAATATTCAGATCACAGCAAATTTATATTCTGTAGGGTATCTCCATATTGGGAATCATATGGGAATGAACAGTGTATGTGCTTTTTCCCCTTATAATTTCTGCAGCATCAGATCAATTTTCATTACCATTGGTATGAAGAACAGGAGTCAGGATAGCGCAGTCAGTATAGCGACTGGCTACGGGCTGGACGACCAACAGGCTGGAGTACGAGTCCAAGTAGGGTGAACAAATTTCACCACTCCATGTTGTCCAGACAGGCTCTGCGGTCCACCCAACTGCCTATACAATGGGTACGGGGGAGTCCCCCAGGGGTAAACTCACCCCCAAATAGTGCCGAGGTCAAGAAAATGTGGATCTATAATCCATACAACCACTTCCCCATATGCCTTCATGATGTAGTGGTTACTTAGTTAAGCACAGGGACAACTTTACCTTTGCTGGTATGAAGAACATAAAACTGAAAGTTACAAAGTTCTTTTTTCTCTTTTAACCTCTTCAATAATATTATCAGGACAACAGCAAGAACGTTTGAGGGAGAAGCTTCAGCAGTGTCATTCAATGCAGAATGCTAACATTTTGGGACAGATCTTTGAAAAATGTGAAACTTTGTCAAGGCTAGTGTTTGACATGATTTTGTGACTACTATTAAACACAGCAGCATTTTCCTTAGCATCATCTTCCTCAAGGATGACATTCTTACAGCCTCTTAGGATCCATTTTAGGTCCACAAAACATTCACTTAAAATAATTATTTTTCCTTCCCTCATCACCACACATTGAGCCCTGAAATATAATGTTTCTTCAATGTCACATGGTCTTCAGTATAGCTTACAACTTTTACTTTAAAACTGAAAACATTCTTGAGAATGTGTTAAGAATCTGCATAACAGGAGTCTCTGCTGCTTACAGATGGGTTTCCATAATCAAGTCACATAAAATACTTTTGTTTAATGAGTAACAATTACTTTAAGTATAAATATTTCCAGGCAGATCTCATGAAGTCCTCATACATTTTGTTGTCCCACAGATCTGTTACTATTATTATTGTTATTTTGTTTATTATTGCAAAAAATACTGTCACATATTTAAGTGACTAGACACTGTGTTTGGATTGGTAATCAGATTTATTGGACTCCAGAAACTGGAAACTGCAATTAATTACAGTGTTACTGCTGATTCATGCACTCTACAATTCACTACAGCAGGCACCAAGTCTTCTCAGTGTTTTCAATAGTTGCTGCTTGGCAGTGGATCCCAAATCTGTAGATTCCTCAGCTTCCAGATTCATGGCGTCTGCCCATACTGACTGGCAACTGTCTCACATCTGTCATGGCTGCAATCCCTGGCTGTTGACTCCTAGCCGGGTCGCCTCCACTGGCTACCGCTGGCTACTGCCTCACTAACCATTCCCTACCTGACTTCTATTTGACTACTATTAGTTGTGTTTGTTTCAATTCTCCGGATACAGCCTAGGGTCGCACGGCACAGAAAAGACCGTTTCCAATTGCTCTTCTATTGTTGTGTGCATGTCTGCTGCAGCGTTCACATGATGGATACTGTTGCACAGCAATGGATGCTCACTTAACAGCACTGTCACATGTTTAGTATGCCATAACCTAGCAATGGATGCTGCTTCTCTGATTAAGTTATTCTGGCTTTCAGTGGACATGCCACAATATATTACTTAAGTATATATTCTGTCTGCATTAAATCTGTTGGACATAACCTTAAAGTTCTGTATCATTACTACGTTTGTAACTGACTTACAAACATTATTTCACATATACAGTACATAGGTATGTTTATGATCTATTTCCATATAAAATTTCACATGCCCAACTCCAATAATTCATTATGTCCATCAAACTGAGAGCCAAACACAGTTTATTGCACAGTTGCCATGCTATCATCTTCATTCTGCAGAAGAATTCCACAATAAAAGTTGCAGTTTTTGAAAACCTGTTAATGTACATCATTCAGGACCCAAAGTTAAGTGACACTAGTGTAGCACCAACTTTGGTGTGGTCTGCAATGGCATGATGTTCATATGGATTCATGTGAAAAATCAATCAAATGAATAAAAAATTGAAATTGGGAGAACACACAAAGGGCACAGTGATCTCATAAGCTTACTTTTTACTATTAACCCTTGAGCGTGGGGATTTAAAAATCGCTTTCGTGGTGCCTCCGGCGGTATTACTTTTTAGTTGGCCATTTAAATTTTGTGTCTAAATTATATTAATTATCATAGCTTTTGAACTATATGAGATATAATTATGAATTTTTCACTGAAATAATCTTAAAAGATGGTGTTATAATCTTACCTGATAATATGGCCGCCCTTTATCTCAACGATGGAAGCAAGTTGATTAGAAGTGGAGTTGTGTGTGGTATTTCTTAAAACATTCATCAAAACACATCGCTGCTTCACAATCACTACACCAATAAACAGTATCCTTCCTTTTGCCTTGTCTTGAGCACACGACACATCTTCTTTGTGGCTTTGCCTTCTTTCCTGTGGCTGGAATCTTCTCCACAAAATGCCGTTCTGTGAGTCTTTTAGNCACCCACTGAAAGGACAGTTCCTTTCAACACGTTTCACAAACAACCGCTGGCGCTGTTTGTTCTTAGCTTTCCTAACCACTAAACCATATCATGTGTTTGGAATGTGTAAATTATAGTCAGCGTTGATACCACTGTGAGTCACGAGTTTATTTTTAGACTTCCTGGCATAGGAGGTGCAGTTGCATGCGTACATTCAGCGACTGCGTTCTCTCCATAACAGGGGAGTCCAAACTGCATAATTCTAGCGTGATCCTTTCAATTCTTATGCCATTTCGAAACTTAGCTTACAGCTTAACGTACACAGTACGTGAAACCACAGACAGGGGCATTTAAATACCACGGTACGACAAACGTCAAACCACCGTAAAGGGTTAAAGGATGAAAAATAGATTAAAAATAGCACTCATAACATGAATAAGTTTCGGTTTTCAACAGTAGCACCACTATCATATGCTGTACCTTAAATCAGTTTTTAACAATCACCACAAAGGGTCACTGGGCATCCACTATCTTAACACCATCTGGTAACCCTGGAATACACTACAGCTCATGTATCAACATGAGAATATCCTCCCCCCCCAGAAAAATATAAGTATATCAAGTATCATTCTGTTTCATCGAGAAGTACTAAAAGCAGTAGGCAAGTGTGTCATCCCAAACTGTATGTCAAAAGTGTAGCCACATCACAAAGAACATATAAGTGGATAAGTTTAGAGCAAGTATGATGATAATGGTAGCAAAATTAGTTTCTGAAATATTTTGCTGTCAGTATGATAATCCATGGATAAACAAGTTATGAGATATGCCATACTTGTTAGAAGTCTATTTCATCAGAAACTGTTGCATCACACTCCCTTCATTTCAAAATGTAGTGCTTCAATTTTTAATTAAAATAAAAGTAAGCAGACCTCATCTTATGACTGTATAAGTATGATACATAATTTTGAATAATATTACATAGTGATTGTAACTTTTACAGGAAGGTCCACTGTTAGAATAGTGAATCTACAGTCATGGATTGGAAGGGTAACAAAAATGGTGGATACAAGGGGTGAATAAAACTTCTGGTGGGAATGACTTTTGGAAAATGGACAATGGAAGACAAAGATGGAGACAGAAGGTCAACAATAGAGTGGAGCTGAAAGCAATAATTTGTGATGATGAGAGGTCAATGGAAACAACCCCAGGATGCATCCAATTGCAGGTTGTAGTATCACTAGTGTTCAAACTTTAACTTCTATTACAACAGACTTCAGACAGTTATGCTTTATGTTTCCTTTAAGTACCATGCTCATAAAAAGGTAAAGCTGTCCCTGTGCTTAACTATTTAAGCACTATACCATGAAGACGTATGGGAGGAGTGGACGTATAGATCCACATTTTCTTGACCTCAGCAATAGTTGGAGGTGAGTGGTCAGCTTCATGCCCTGGCCACTTTACCCCAGGGAAAGATCCCCAAGTACCCATTGTATTGGAGGTTTGGTGGACCCCAGAAATGGTGTGCATGATTGGAGATGTGATAATTCTTGATCCTACCAGAACTTGAACTCTGACCCCTTGGTTATCCAGCCCATAGCCAGTCACTATACTGACTACACTATGCTCATAACCATTAAAAAGTGTAGGCAATAAGGGGTAAGAGAAAGGAAAATTTCTATATCTGGAAGGTATATTATCTATAACAGGTATTGCAGTCAGACCAAGTAAGGGGGTGCTTATTGAGTATAACTATTCTATACTTAACATGTTGGAGTTATGCTTTATTCTCATCACTCAAAGTTATACATAAAAAAAATAAATTCTTTTCTCCTGTAACTAGCCAAGTTCCAGTTCAGAGATGAAGCCCCCAACTTAAAGACCATGGACGTGACATCTGCTGCCAGATTTGTGCAATCACACACCTCAAGAGGCAGTGAGAAATGAGTATGGAGCAATGGTGGAATAATATTAGCTGTGAAAAATTGAAGATACTCATACTCAGTGATACTCTGGTCAACGCAAAACTCCCACAAAGTCTCTCAGCACCTGATCCATGCCTCCACGTTCAACGGCCAAAGCATAAGCATATGAGATATGGCATGGGCATATCACTACAGAAATACAGAAATAACCTGATACATACCACCCATCTGGAAATTTACTTCCATTTCAGTAAACTGCACCAAATCAATGTCCCCAGTAGTTGGTTGCAGGTTTGTTGAAGTGCGCATTCTTTTGTTCAAATCACCAGGCAGGTCCAGGAATTTGTTCACTATAGAAATACTGGAGCTTTGGGAGACAGATTCCTATTAACAAAAACACCAAGGATCATGTCTTAAACATCATAAATTCAGAAGATGAAATATCCTAACACATCTGTCAATATAGGAAGTTAAAATATTCTTACTTTCCCGGTCAACAAAGTAGTTTAAATATTCTTACATTCCCTGTCAGTAAAGAAGTTTAAACATTCTTACATTCCCTGTCAATAGGGGAAGTTTAAATATTCTGACATTCCATGTCAATAAAGGAAGTTTAATATTCTTATATTCATGATGTGTATTTGTACCAACCGTCTTACAGTGCACACAATTTCACCTTTCTCTTCACTACATGTTTCAGCACTAATGTGCCATCTTCAGGTGTGGTTTTGTTTGTCAAACCATTGCACTGTATGCCATCATGTCTCCTTTATAAAATGATTAAAATGTAAATATGTCATGTATAATAATAAAATTTATATATTAAAACTTTTCAAGATTTATCATCTATATGTCGCACTTCAAATTCGTGAGTTACGTCGATCCTCTTCTATGGGAGTACTCTTCCTATATTCTTGTGTATGTTGTGTCCTGTATTGTGGCCTTCCCTTGTGACTGCGTGGGTTGTAATATATAAATTTTATTATTATACATGACATATTTACATTTTAATCATTTTATAAAGGAGACATGATGGCATACAGTGCCATGGTTTGACGTAAACAAAACCACACCTGAAGATGGCACATTAGTGCCGAAACATGTAGTGAAGAGAAAGGTGAAATTGTGTGCACTGTAAGACGGTTGGTACAAATACACATCATGAACGTGAATCAGTGCAACAGGACGCTAAAATATAACATTCTTATATTCCCTATCAGTAGAGGATCACAATTAGACTGTCACAAATTGCTAACAATAAACAGAATGTTAGTATTATAGAGCAGACTCTTGCTATATGTGGGGGGGTTACATTCCTGAAAGTTACTGCATGTGCTGAAAACACACAGAACAGGAAATGCATGGAGAAAACACTGAGTGCAGTGCAGGAGTAGAAAACATGAAAACGGTGGGGTGAGTCACTGAAACTGGCTGCAGAACTGATTCAGCATATGCAGCAGTATCTAGTATGGCTGCACATGGACAATATATGAAAACAGATATTGAAAGCACATATAACCAGGGCCATGTGTACCCAGTATGGACCTTTGCAGCACAATGCTGAGTTGTTTCAGCAGCAGAGGTAAGGCATGCAGTGCCCAGGATGACGTGGGAGACTGAACGGTAAAATCTGCTGAAAATGAATGGCATAAATTTCCCAGATAAGTGAAGTAAGTAGCATTTCAGGATGCCTAGCCTATGATTAAAATGTGTATTTAAATTGCTGGAAAAAATTGTCACAATTACTGCATTTTTGGACTTTGTCTATTATCCAGTATTCTAAAAACCAGAGAACATAAGGTTTCAGAAACCAGATTTGTTTCTGTCCTAAGGTGATGGGGACAGACATATACTGTGCTGGGTCTTCTAGAAAGAGCTAACCTCAAACACTGGACAACCCATGTCAGCATAACTAGTTATATAAATACCTCAGCCCAGGCTAAACAGTAACCAGTAAATCTGAGTGTTATACATCATCATCAGAACATTAGAATCTACCTGGAAAGAACAGAGCCAGTAATTATTAAAAACAAAGGTGCACAATGTCATAAGACACACAGAAACAGCACCAGATAATCCAGAATAGGTGGCTCATACTGTGGAAATATATGCACATTAAAAGTCTAAATTCCATCCAAGAAAATGAAATCTGATCTGATGCAATGATAATGAAAAGAATAATGGTTGCTGTACAGTGGAAGTCAGGAGATGAATATACAGGGTTATTCAAAAAGAATGAACTGATTTCATTATGCAATATTTTATTAAAGGAAAGTAATACAAAACTCCAGCCAAGTCACAAGTATTCTACTCACAATCAACTTTAATTTCCTGTCCTACAAGTGTTCAATGTGGCCACCACCTGCAGCACGGGCAACATCAATGCGATAAGAGAATTCCTCCCAGGCGCATATCAGCATATCACGATGCACTGAGTTAATCGCTGTTGTTATTCGATGTTTAAGGTCATCGAGGTTAGTGGGTAGCGGTGGAACTTAAACGTGATCTTTTACATATCCCCACAAGAAGAAATCACACACGGTGAGGTCTGGGGATCTCGCAGGCCAAGCACAAAGAGCAAGGTCTTTGGCCCCCTTCCGACCAATCCATCGCTGGGGCACTTTTTCATTTAAAAAAGCTCGGACCATCAGGTGCCAATGGGGCGGTGCTCCATCTTGTTGAAAAATGAAGTCATGCGAATCTGCTTGCAGTGAAGTGAAGAGCCAGTTTTGGAGCATATCAAGATAGGTTTGTCCTGTAACAGTGTTTCCTTCAAAGAAAAAGGGACCATAAACCTTGTCCTGAGACACAGCACAGAAGACATTCACCTTAGGGGAATCTCTTTCGTGCTCAACTGTTTCATATGGGTGCTCTGTTCCCGAAATACACACATTGTGATGATTGACTGTGCCGCTCAAGTGAAAAGTCACTGCATCACTAAAAATTAAACGTGATATGAAGGTTTCGTCTTCCATCATCTCCAGCATCAAATCACAAAATTCCATCTGTTTCCTTTTGTCGTCATTGGTAAGTGCCTGAACGAGCTGCAGTCTGTATGGTTTCAAATGTAGATGTACTGTTAGCACACGCCAGACAGTGGATTGAGGGATCCCAAGCTCATGGCTAGCTTGATTTGTTGACTTCCGTGGGCTTCTCTCAAATGCAGCACGGATTCTCGCCACTTGTTCCTTCGAGACTCGTGGTCGTCCTGGAATTTTTCCTTTACACAGACACCCACTCTCTTGAAACTGTTGAAACCACCGTCAAATGTTCTTAGGACAGGGCGGATTAATGCTGAATCGCCTTCAAAAAGCACGCTGCACCATGACAACCGAATTTGTTTTCGCGAACTCGAGAATGCAGAACACCTTTTGCTGAGGACTCGCCATTCCGAGGGTAAATGAACAACTGAACGTTGCCGGAAGAACGACACGACTTCAGCACCCCTGTGGCAGCCATTCACAACTTAGATAACTCCTCTTTCAAATGGTCACTGACTCATTCCATGACAATGCTTGAGAAATGAAGCAATGCGTCATGAAATCGGTTCATTCTTTTTGAATAACCCTGTACTATGACTTGTATGTACATAACTGATGTCAGGCAATGAGAAGGAACCAAAAGTGAAACTTGCAATGACAATTACGGAATCTTATGAAGTAATTAAATTGGCTCTATCTCTAACAGAATTCTTCCCCAGCATATTATTCCATTATTTCCCACCCAACATATTCTTCAGAACTGTATCAAGTGACTTTTGTGTCTTCCCTGTCCAAAAAAAAAATATATATATATATAAACCAAGCAAAAAATCAGCACAAGCAGGCAACAAGTTTGACTCTGCTCGGCTCAGCTTGTTCTCTGCTCTTGCTGGTTTCTTGCCTGGCTTACTCATCAACCATGAAGATAGAGGAGATATATTAGTCCAAAACATGGGACTCTCTTTAAACCATTTAATGTTACAACATAGATAATCATACTCTTCAACTTAAGAACCAAACACTATTCTGTAAGGTCCCACAAGACCTCTAATTCCAATGGGAACAGAACAGGCTACTGGTGCCTAACCTATGATTATGATGACAAAGACAAATACATGAACATAAGCAGAAATTCCGGAATTTTAAGATCCAGCCTAGTATAAGAGATCACAGATGTGTGGAAAGATAGAAACACAAAAGTTCTGTGGTCAGATTCCCAATGATGGAGTCCTGTGTTTCCACTTTTCACCAACAGGTCCTTATATAGGTTAGTGGCCTAAATCGCTGTTACCAATTTACACTAAAATTAGTTCATCAGTGGCTAAAACAATGAAAACACTGCATAAGCAGTTAACAAGTGCAATTAAATCTTCCTACTAATATATTTCTGTGTTTTTTCTATAGTTGCAGTTCTTGTTTTGATTACCAAAAGAGGCTGTGGTTCATCATCTGATGGGAAGGGAATGCTGGCAAACAGAGAGATCAGAGACAGCAATCGGTCATCTGGAAAAACAGAAATACCAACACTAATCAGTTTTTACTGTACATATCTTCAGGCAAAACTAAGGAAACTCGTCACTAATTTTCATTTTCATTTATGGGAAATCTATCTGAGATTAATAAAATATAAGGTGACATTAATATATAATGGAGCAAATGGGGAATCATCTTCATCATATGACAGAACACAGATTTCTAAAAAGAGTATTCAACTACAGACCTGAAGAAAAGTAGGAAGGGGAAGACCACAGATGAAATGGTCCCAATACTTTATGTATCTAAGGGTCTAAACTCTCTGACTGCGCTATAGCTTAAGCGGTCAGTCACTGGCTTCCCACCGCGGTGGTCCGGGTTCAATCCTAGGTCTGGTCAGGTGGGATTTGTGGTGGACAAAGTGGCGCTGGGGCAGGTTTTCTCTGAGTACTTCGGTTTCCCCTGCCAATCTTTATTCCGCCAAATTGTCCATCATCATAATCATCCGGGGCAGGCTACAATAGGCCAATCAGTGGTCACCGTGCCGAGTGGACCCAGCTGGACTCCACCCTCCACTAAGCAAAAGGGTCTAAACTGCGCAAAACAGAAAAATGAGTTTAAGAGGAAGGAAGTAAAGTTAGGAATGCTTGAGTTCTAAATAACACACATTTTATAAAACCTTCAACACAAAGAGATTTTGTACTTCTGTTGGAGACTTTTACACCCCATCCCCCCATTTTGACCTATTGTAAGGTCATCATTGGGTGGTTTGACATTATATGTTACACAATATTGCAATTATGTGTGTCAGTACTTTGTTTTACCACCTGACGATGACCACAGTGGTATAAACATGTAGTGATAACCTCTAAAGTGAATACATTTTAACAAACTGTATAGAACACAGTGTTGCATATGAGACTGTAGACAACTAATCTATTTAACAAGACTGACAAGACTCAGTGGGCACCTTATTGAGTATTACAATTTTACAAACACTGATGTATATGAAAACATTAAACACAAATGTGCTTTAGAAAAAAGTAATTACCTGTAATATTTACTGCCACATTGGGAAGACTGCCTGTGACCTTGAGTTTCGGTAGTCGAGGATCGTCTGTGATGAGACATTTGTCTAACTGAATGATCAAATTAGTTGGATGCAGCAGATGCATAGGGGTCACTGTGTTGCTAGTTAAAGCATCTTCCCATTTCTCTTCCCCAACAGCCACTAGAACCTACACAATGCATAAAGATGCAAATCAGACACTTTGAGGCATTATATTCACACTGAGGTTAGCACATATGACATTAACAACACAAATGCAAACTCATTACTTGTTCAAGAGTTCTACTTTCTGGGGCGTGATGATAAAGTTTACTGACATTTCAGGGAGATGTACTGTCTCCAACTTAAGGGTTGAA